TGCAATATGTCCAGCACCCAGCACTGTGAGTGCTGTGTCCAGTTTTGGGTCACTCTGTTCAAGGAGGACATTGTGCTGCTGCAATATGTCCAGCACCCATCACCGTGAGTGCTGTGTCCAGTTTTGGGTCACTCTGTTCAAGGAGGTGGGTCATTGTGCTGCTGCAATATGTCCAGCACCCAGCACCGTGAGTGCTGTGTCCAGTTTTGGGTCACTCGGTTCAAAAATTACATTGTGCTGCTGCAATATGTCCAGCACCCAGCACCGTGAGTGCTGTGTCCAGTTTTGGGTCACTCTGTTCAAGGAGGACATTGACTCTGTGATTCCGAGCTGTGCTTGCCCTGGTGTTGCGTGGGATGGGCTCAGTGCCCTGCTCTGCATGGGCTGTGCATCACAGCACTGCCCAGCACACCCAGGAGAGGCTGGCACTGCAGGGCTCTGCATCTCTCTGTTCTCCCAGCCTCTCTGCATGGTCCCCACATCCCACAGAGCACAGTCCAGTGCTGGTGATGGGCCAGAGCACAGGCAAAACCAGCCAGGATCTCACAGCAGACAAGAGCTTCCTTGGGCCTGGCTGCCAGGAGAATCTGTGGCAAAGCCAAGACCACAGTGTTGAATACAGAAACCCAGGATAAGCTCATCCTTCTCACTCCCCCCTCAGTGGGGACAGCCACCCCTCCACAGACAGAATATTGTCTCCTCAGCAGCACCAGAGAGTGACCTGCACATTTAAGAAGAAGAGTTTAAAAATCCCTGCCGAGCTCATCCTGTTTGTGGGATGGAGCAGCATCCAAGATCCAGGTCTCACGGATCACACAGAGCATCTACACTGCTGGAGAGCTGGATCTGCCACTGGGGCACCCCCCAAAACCAGCAGCAACTCAGCAAGGGCAGGATCAGTCCCTGACACCTTCCCAACTCCCTCCCCCTCTCCGGAGTCCCAGCCAAACAGCCTTTAATCTGCAGGAAGCCTGGTTTCCCTGGCAGCAGCATTTCCAAGGTATTTCGGGCTCTCTTCCCCCGAGGGTCCCGGCGCTCAGGATGCGCAGCCGCGGGAAGCAGGGCCGGGCTGCCAGGCTGGGGATGAGCTGCGGGGACTCGGTGAGAGCCCGGCGTGACTGCAGGGGCGGCCCCAGCCTTGGGAGAGGGTGGGCGAGGATGGGGAGCGCTCTCCAAAAGGGATGAAGGATGCTCGGAGGCGGCTCGGCCAATGGCGTGGCGGGATTTGGTTGTCATGGCTACGGTTGGGAGGCAGTGCTGGGAGAGAAGGGGTGCAGAGCCCCCCCATCCTCTGCAGCCGGTTCATTCTCTCGGGATACTCATGGCAGAATCTGTTTAAATGCTTCCTGAGGTAAGGGGGCTTTTGGGGGGGGCTGTGGGGGAGCTGCTTTGCCTGGCACAGTGAGGAGGGAGCTGCAGAGTGACTGTGGTTGCTAATTTAGGAACGGGGGTGAAGGGCATCGTGCTGTCAATGCCCCTCTAAGCCCCTGCACTGCTTCTCCTCAGAGACCCCGGACCCCCAGGCACAGCTACACCTCGGGCTGCTGCAGGAGCTCGGCGTTCCTCGGGGACCCCCCCTGACAGCACACCAGGACACCTGGGAGGGACAACTGGACCGTGGTAAGGAGGGGGTGTTGAGGCTGGGGCACGAGTTCTGACAGGAATGACCCATTTCATCCCTTCTGTGCCCCACCAGGGTGGACTGGGTGCTGTTTGGTGATGGGGAGTGAAGGGTAAAGCTGGAGGAGTTGCTCTCCTTTCCTGTTTAGGAAGCTCTAAGAGCTTCAAAACATGTTTTTTCATCCCATTCTCCATCTCTGGAATTGGCTGGTGGTGCTTGCTCAATGCATTACAACATCCTGCTGCTGCGGGGTCAGCGTGGTCTTTCTCCCAGTGCCCCTGGAATGTTGTCAGGAGGTCTCTGTGCAGCTCTGAGAAATGAAACCTCTGCCTCCTGCACTTCAAATTAGAGAGACCATGCTCCTGGAAGAGCCCTGGAGCTAGACCTGGATTGCTGGAGTGGAAATGTTCCCTGCTAGCTCATCAGCTCCCTGGGTTCTGGGCCAGGCTGGATCCAGGGCAGGAGATTGTTAAAGCTCAGGGTGTGAGCTCAAAGCTAAAGCTCTGCTAGGATGAGCCCCAAAACTCTGTGCTGCTTAATTGTCACCTTGTCCCACACCCTGTGTCACAGGAGAGCTGTGGAACAGCATCCACAGCAGGGATCCAGGCTGTCCTGAGGTTGGGTGGTGTCAGTGCTGTGCCTGCCTTGTCCTGGGGCTTTCCACTGGGAAGGTGGGTCCAGGAGCCTTCAGCTATCTGGGATCCATCCAGGATGCTCACCCCACTGAACACTCAGCTGATCCAGCTGCATTCCAGAGCGTGAAAGGGCCTGTCCTGGCCTAGAAAAGCATCTCTGCTCTTTGTGGTGCAGTTGGCTTTGTTGTTGACTGTGCTGGTGCCTGCTGGTGGAGACAAGGCTGCTGTGTGCCAAAACAGAGCTCTGAACTGCAGAGAAATGTGTCTCCTCCCCCGGGGGAAGAAGCTGTAACCCACAGCAGGGCTCTGCTGAGCTGCTGGTTTGGAGCAGAGCAGCACAAAGCTCTACCCAGGGGCACCCCGGGCTATGGGCTGGGGGGTCCATGCTGATGGAGCTCCTGGACCCTTTCCCTAAACATTCCTTTCATTTTTACACTGTGCCTCATCCTTAGAATCCATCCCCTACTCTAGGAGGTTTTAAAGGAGCGTCTCCACACCCAGAACATCACACCATGAACGGGTACTTGAACGAATCCAATTTCCTGATGGTGGAGGAGGGCTTCACCACCAGAGACCTCCTGGAGAACCTGCTGGGGGAGCTGTGCCAAGAGGTGAGGGGCTGATGCTCTGCTGCTGCCTTTGGAAAAGGCACTCGTGGAGCTGCTGCTCACTCCAGCTGTCCCCTAGAGCCACCAGCAGGCCTTCTTCGTGGCAGACCTTGGGGACATCGTGAAGAAGCACCTGCGTTTCCTGAAGGCCTTGCCCCGAGTGAAACCCTATTTCCCAGTTAAATGCAACGGCAGCGAAGGGGTGATTCGGCTGCTGGCAGAGCTGGGGGCAGGATTTGCCTGTGCCAACAAGGTAGGGCTGTGGGAGGACAGCTCCAGGGGAAATGTTTGTGGGGGAGCAGCAGAGCTCACCCTCCTTTCCTAAATCTCTGCTCGAGGTGACATTTACAGGGACAGGAGTCTCCCTCTGCTGTCACAGCCCAAAATTCCCTGTCTCTTTGGCTGACATTCCTGTCTCTGGAGCTGCTGTCCTGCCTGGTGGCACAGCACATCCCTGGGGTGTAACTGCCACATCTGTGCAGCTCTTGATGTCCTTAGGGCTGAACCTAAAGCTTTTTGCTCCCTCCCACTTGTCATTTGCAACAGCCAGACTTCCAGGGAGGAGGCAAAATTAAATCACTTACTTTAATGTAATTAAATAAGATGAGAAAGGGCGAGGGGAGAAAGGGCAAGAGTTGTCACAGCTCAAACCAGGGCTCAGCCCCAGGCCTGCCAACGCCACTTGTTTCCTCTCCCATTCTCATGGTGTTTTTAAACCTGTCCATGCCAGGACAAAGTCCACTGTGATCCCTTTGAGCTCTGGTAGCTTTTCCCTGGAAAAACCCAGGCTGCAACGCCGGCGCTTCACCCTCCTCAGCACTGCAAGCTGGCCAAGACCCAGAGCTGGTGGCTGGTCCCCACCCAGCTCCTGGGGACCTGCTGCACGTGTCCCCTTCTCCCTGCAGGCAGAGATCACCCGGGTTCAAGGCATTGGGGTCCCAGCTGACAGGATCTTCTACAGCAGCCCCTGCAAGCAGGTCGCCCACATCAGGTATGCTGCAGCCCACGGGGTCAGGCTGATGGCCTTTGACAACGAGGTGGAGCTGAGCAAGGTGGCCAGGAGCCACCCCCGTGCCAGGTGGGTGTCTGGCAGTGTCCCTGGAGTGGGTCCTGGAGGAGGGGATGGGCTGTGGGGGGCAAGAGGAGGTTGTACAAGGTGGGTTCAACAAGAGGAATGGCCTCAAGCTGTGCCAGGGGAAGTTTGGATTGGATATGGGGAAAAATTTGATCACTGAAGGGGTTATTGGGCAGTGAAACAGTCTGACCAGGGAAGGGATGGATTAGTCACCTCTGGAAATGCTCAAAAAACTTGTAGATGTGGTGCTCAGGGACGTGGTTTAGCATTGGACTTAACAATTGGGGTTAATATTTGGACTCAGTGATCTTTGAGGGCTTTTCCAGCCCTCAAAGGCTTTTCCTTTCATGGTCCTGTTATTCTGAGAGCCCTCAACACAGCGTGGCTTTGCTGTGCAGGATGTTGTTGGGGATCACTGCTGACTCCATCCCTCCTGCCCACCCGAGCATGACCTTCGGGACCACGCTGAAATCCTGCCGGCACCTGCTGGAGACAGCGAAGGAACAGGCTGTGGAGGTTGTTGGCATCAGGTACAGCTCTGGGCCTTCCTCCCTAGGTGTTGCAGATGAGCACGAGGCAGGACCTCCCTACACCCCCAATAAACCTCTTTCCCCAAGAGCAAACTTCAGAGATCTCTGCCTCCGTTCACCCACACAGTGCTGGAGCGTGTTTTTCCCACACCTAGGGGGGCTCAGCCCCTCTGGATCAGGATCTGGGGAGCTCTGCCCTGCTGGAACCACACAGTGATCCAGCTGCTCTGCTTGGGAGTGAGGAGAAGGCAGGGATTTGAGCTCATCGGGGCCAATTTGGGGCAGGTTGGACCCTAGGAAAGGCTCCGTGGGGCTCTGCGGGTCTGGCTTGGGGTGGTGCGTGGGAAGCTGTATGAGTGACAATCCCAGTGTCCCCTCTGCTCTGGGGATGATCAAACCCTGCTGAGGTGTGTCTGTGCCCTCAGCTTCCACCTCGGGAGCCGTGGGCTGGAGCCCCAGGCCTGGGCCCAGGCTGTGGCCACAGCACAGCTGGTGTTTGACATGGGCACGGAGCTGGGACACCCCATGCACCTCCTGGACATCGGGGGTGGCTTCCCTGGCACCGAGGACACCAGAGCCCTGCTGGAGGAGGTACAAACCAACACCTGCCCTCAACAGGCAGAGAATGAGCTTGGAAGCTCTCCCCAGGCCTGGCTGCCTGCAGAATTCCCAGCTAACCAAGAGGAAGGTTCTGTTTTCTTCCCTCACAGATGGCTGCCGGGATAAACTCTGCCTTGGATTTGTACTTCCCCGAGGGCAGCGGGGTGGACATTGTTGCCAGGCCTGGGCGTTACTATGTCACCTCTGCCTTCACCTTGGCTGTCAGCATCACTGCCTTGGAGGAGACCCCCATGGAGCAGCCTGGCTCTGACGGTAGGTGTGACAGCAGGACGTGTCCCCTGTGTCCCTGAGCCCCGCTGAGCCCTCTCCCCACTCCCAGATATGTCCCTGAACCCCCCTGAGTCCTCTCCCTGTTCCCAGATGTGTCCCCTGTGTCCCTGAGCCCTCTCCCCACTCCCAGATGTGTCCCTGAGCCCCCCTGAGCCCTCTCCCTGTTCCCAGATGTGTTCCCTGTGTCCTTGAGGCCCCCAGAGCCCTCTCCCCACTCCCAGATGTGTCCCTGAACCTCCCT